GTATAGTTTTGGATTCTGCCAGGTAGAACAGCCAAAAACCTGGAATCATCCTATTCAGTTCCAACTTGCAGACGCCGATTTGTACTGTCATGAAGTTTAACCTATTGTCACACGGCAAATTGGCCACTTCTGCCTGGATTATTGGCAAAGTTTGCTCATAGCTTTGCTTTCTACACTAATTACATAGCATTATTCCAGTATGTTTTCCATTTCCCAGACCTGATTTCTGGCTTCTCAAAGCTGACTGTTCTTGAGGGGCCACTTGCTTCTTCTAGAGTACAAAAGTAAGGGCCTCCCTTACTAACGGCAGGGTCTGTATACTACACCTCAGTGCACACTTGCTGCTACTATTTGTACTGTCTACAGTAGAACTTCCTTATCTTGCTCCTGGTAGTGCATTACAGGCAAGCATGAAATGTAAAGTATTTATTTAAATACAAAGAAAACCTCTAATTGGTGATTGACTTATCTCCCTGTAGCTTTATAGTTTGTGACATTTCTTGATTTTGCCAGTTCTTTCATTAGATCCACGAAAGATTTGGTCATCCAGTTAAGGATTTTAAGCAGATGCAACTACGAACCCAAGAAACTGTATTATTATTATTGTTGGTTATACTAAAACTGTTTCTTTCCTTAAATATATAACCAATAAGGATGTAAAATAAATATAAAAAGCTGTTTTTGTACACTCACTACACATCCTTAGTATTTTTACACATATATGATAGGGATGTACATTATTTTCCTTCACACAGACAGCTTAAATAAAGCTCTATGTCAATCTGCTAAAAAAAATAAAAATAAAAGAGTATAACAACCCTACCTTATCCCTTGTTGATTGTTAAATAATAAGGATGTATCCTTAATCTACAATACAGAACATCTGTAAAGCTATTTTCACTGTAATTTCAGAAGTAAAAATGTGGTTGGAAGTGACAAAGAAGCACATTTATGTTTAACAACAAAAAGATGATCTTTCAATAATTTAACATGAAGATAAAAATGAGCAGCTTCAAGCAAATTATTTCCCCACCACTGGAAATATTTAAAGAGGATCTTCACAGTGTGTTTTAGAAGTATTTCTTATCTTGGGGAAAGGACTAATATCTAGAATTCCTTCAATTTTTACAGTGCTTTGGTTTTATATTTTCATAGAAAATAGCATTTAAACATTTATTTCCTGTAAGATTCTAATGACATCTTTTTCCCTTATATAATAAAAAATTACCCCAAAGAGTCATGAGGTGCAAGAAACTGCACTGCAAGGGGGAAATCAAGGATTGAAGAAGTCAACTTTACACATTGCATTACCACCCCCAGCATCATCTTCTAATCACCCAAAATTGTTCTCCCAAACAGATGAAACAGGCACTCCTAGCAACAGTAGAGAAAGCATAAAGGAAATTGCAGGAAATGTAATTACACACTGTGAGTTAACAGCCCTCATTCTCATGGGACATTCTGAAGCACTCTTTGGTCATACAGGTCTGGCAGAATCTCAGTACATTCTGCAGATCAATGATTCCTATTAAGAAAAAGCTAGGCAGATTATTATAGGATCTCTGAGATTTCCATTTTTAATGGACAGTATTACTTTTCTCGAGGAGAAGGGAATAAAGTATTTTCAAACTTTTTTGATCACAGAACCCTTTTTGCTTTGAACACCTTATAAATCTAACATTACAAAGTTCACATTTTAAAAAAAATTCTTTTCTGTCAAGATTTTATGTATAATTTTCTTCACTCTCATTAACTGATCAAATTAGGGATAACAACCATAATAACCATGTCTATAAAATTACAGAATATTTTTAATTCCACTTAATTTCCAATACATTTATCTACTCCATTATGCAGCAGTTATCTTTCTACATAGATAAAATTTATTTGTTTTTCCTGTTGGTAGCAAAGAACCAAGTAAAGACATACTCTTGTTTTTCAATTTGGAGTTCCTCCTCCTGAGCTTTGAACAAGTCCTACTGAAGGCTGATAACTTGGTCACAAGGCAGAGCTTGAGAAATGTAAGTGCCATCGCCTTGGAAATCATCAAAACATGGCTTCCTGAGGTACAGAAACCATCACTGCAGACCTTCACCAGTGTGATGAGATCAGCCTTGTGTCTCCTCCACAGAGCTTTAAGAATAAGCTTTGCCTCTCCCAGAAGATAGTTAAAACGAGAGCCATGAGGTTTACAACCTCCTTCCACCATAAAAATAACATTATATTTAAATAAAAATAGGAATTATATAAGAGGAGCAGAGGCACCAAGTGCCAAGTAGCTGAACCTTTTGGGCTGCCATACCACCAGCCCCAGCACAGATGAAAAAGGCCGCCCCCCACAGTGCACAGGATGTGACCCTATTGGGCCAGCATACCACCACTACCAGTGCAGAGGAGCAGAGGACCCCAGCACCAAGTAGCTGAGCTTTTCAGGCCACACTACCACCACCCTCAATGCAGAGGAGAAGGGCCCCTCCCCCAGAGCCTAGGAGGTGAACCAGAAGGATGCAAGCAGAACATCCCCTTTGAAATGAAAAGACATGTAAACAAGTCTCAAAACCAGACTTCCAGATCATCTAGAGAAACCACAAAGGGTAACAAGATGGAACACTGATACTCAACCACCTAGATGCCCTGAACTGTCAACATAAAAGGATCTGGAAAAAATGAAATCAGGAATAACTGCTCAGATAACAGGAGAGATTATGCTGATAGTGCAAGACATGATTGATAAATCTAGAGAGGAGGTGAGGAACATGATGGAGTCCCAACATAGGAAACATGGAATCCATAAAACAGATGCCAACAGATTTCCAGGAGATTAAAAATTACATAGAAAGTTTATAAAGCAGAATGAGCCAATGTGAGGACAGAATTTCAGATATAGAACATGAGATTGCAATTAGTGACCAGAAAAAGAAAAATTTCTTTAAAATAGGAAGCAACCATGAGAAATCAATCCAGCAGCTGCTAGACAATGGAAAGAAGAATAACATAAGACTGATCAGAATCAATGAAGAAACAGGAGAGAGTGCAGATGACATGAAAAAAATGTTCACAGAAGTGATGGCAGAAAACTTTCCAAGCAAGGGGAAAGAACTTGACATACAGATAAGTGAGGCATGTAGGACTCCAACTAGACTTGATTAAAAAAAAATCTACAAATAGGCATATAATTGTTAAGATTCCTGGAACTCAACAGAAGAACAAAATTCTACAAGAAGTTAGAGAAAAGAAACAAATCACATACAAAAGAAAGTCCATCAGAATCACAGCAGACTTCTTAATGCAAACACTCAAGGCAAGGAAAGCTTGGAGTTACATATTTCAAGCCCTAAAGGAAAACCATCTCCAACCCAGATTGATGTACCCTACAAAACTATCTTTCATAATTGATGCAGAAATAAGATACTTTCATGACAAAGACCACCTGAGGAACTTCATGGATACCAAACCAGCACTCCAAAAACTTTTAAACAATATCCTAGGAAAAGACAATGAGGATCACAACCCCAGGAAGTTCAGCAAAATGAAGCCATTGGACAGGACAAGAAACTAAATGCAAAGGGGGTGAATCCAACAAAAAGAAAGTTATGACAAGGATAAGTCAATATGTATCAGTTATAACCTTCAATGTTAATGGTTTCAATTCACCCATCAAAAGAAAGAGACTGGAAGAATGGTTCAAGAAGAAAGATCCAACAATATGCTCCATACAAGAAATACACTTAATCCAAAAAGAAACTCATAGGGCCAGAGATTTAGCTCAGTGGTTTTGCTGCCTACTTGACAAGTGCAAATACCTGAAGTCGATCCCCGGTACAGAAAAAACAAAAAAAGAAACTCATAGACTGTAAGTTAAAGGGTGGAAAACAATCTTCCATGTGACAGGAACCAAAAAAAAAAGCAAGAGTAGCTATCCTCTTTGCAGTTTAAGTGGATTTCAAACCAACACGGATTAAGAAAGACACAAAATGACACTACATTCTTTTAAAAGGAACAATCAAAGAGGAAGAGATGACAATCCTAAATATATATGCAGCAAACACTAGTGAGTCAAGCTATATAAAACAAATACAAACAGACATGAAAAATCAAATAAGCACTAATATAATAGTAGTGGCAGACTTCAAAACCCCACTGTCACAAATAGATAGATCAACTAGACAAAAAATAAACAATGAAATGCTAGAATTCAATCCAACTCTCAAAAAAATGAACTTAACAGATGTTTACAGAGTGTTCCACCCCACAAAATCAGAACACACGTTCTTTTCACCTGCACACAGGTCGCTCTCCAAAATAGATGACATACACACTCATAGAAGATATTTAGGTAAGTGCAAAGGAATTGAAGTTATCCCCTGTATATTATCAGACCCCAGTGTGATGAAATTGGAGATCAATAGCAAAAGAAACTGCATGAATTCATAAACACATGGAAACTGAACAACACACTTCTGAAAAACCAATGGGTCACAGAGGAAATTAAAGAAGAAATCAGACAGTTCCTATAATTAAATGAAAATCGCAATACAATATATCAGAATCTATGGGACATAATGAAAACAGTCCTATGAAGAAAATTCATAGCAGTGAATATACACATTAGGAAAACAGAGTGAGCCCAATTAAGCAACCTGATACTGAACCTCCTAGGGATTCAGGAAGAGCAATCAACACAAATTAACATATTGCTATTTTAACTTAGAATTCATTCTTTTTTCTTTTGTACCAGGGATCAAACTCAGGACCTTGAACATGCCATTGAGCTAAATCCCCTGCCTAGAATTCATTCTAGAGTGTTTGCTTCTCAGAGCCTGGACTCGTAGGGATGAACTGACAAAATGTAGGTTTAGAAATCTTCAAAGCTTATATCTGAAGTGTGATTCATCTACACATTCTTCCCTGCCTAATTATTCAACCTTCTCTCTTCATAATAGCTTCTGTTTACAATCTAGTTTTTAAAAAGAGAAAAAAGTTACCTATTATTTACCTACCAATTGGTGAGCACCTTCTGAAAGTGCCTCATAGTATTTCAGCTTCTTGTACTTTTCCAAAAGAGCTAGTAACTCTTTAAGTCAGGTCTGTACTTCTTCATGATTTGCTTTGTGAAGAAACTGAGCAACCATAATGCTGGTGCTGAAACATAATATTTGTGAACATTAAAATTAGAATCAAACCTGTTTCCCCCACAATTCTTTGTTACATCACTGCTGCCTTGTCCCCCATTAATGTATCTTCAAATTTCAAAAGCAATATTGATTGTAAAACTCATATGTCTCTTAAGTTGTCCTCCAAATAATTCTGGCTGATGATATTAGGCATAAAAGATAGTTTTATTTCTTGCTATAATCTGAATTCTTGACTCCCTCAACATTCAAATATTGAAATTCTGACACTCCAGTCATTGATAGTAGAAGGTGAGAACTTCTAGTAGGCCATGAGTCCTTGAGCCCTCACAAGTGGAATCAAAGCCCTTATAAAAGAGGCCCAGAGGCATTCATTCCAACTTCCCACCTGAGGACACACAGAAGACACCAAATATCTGAAAGTCAGATCATACAAGACACCAAATATCAGAGCCCTCACCAGGTATGGAATCTGGAGCATCACCCTCTTGGACTTCCCAGCCTCCAATACTGAAAGAAATAAATTTCTGATGTTTATAATCTCAGTTTATAGTATTAGTTCTGGTAACCTCGGTGGACTGAAATATCTGTCTGGAAATTTTCCAGATTGAAATACCCTTTTAAATTCTGCAATCTGTATTTTTACAGTAACAAATTTCTAGGTATGTTTTATTTTCTATGATGAATAAGAACAAACTGCTAGAGTCATCATCACATATATTTAAACTGTTTTTTATAAGTATTTATCTATATACAAATATCCTCTGTAGCTGAAATTTGTCATTGATCTATGAATAAGGTGCATGTAGTTGTATAGACACTTCTGAATTAACTAAACTTGGATGATTTGGTTACTTAATTCTTTAGTTGAAGTTGTCAGCAAACCCAAAATTAAAGATTAGCATTGGGAACAAAATTATAAATGTTAACAACTTGAAGGCTTACTTTGGCAAAGAAAAGGCCTCCATGCTGTGAGCTCCATCACTCCACCTCATGCCCACCCACCACACATGTGCGCACTCACTTACCACTAGAAATAGGACCTTCCTTCTTTTTTTTTTTTTTTTTGGTACCGGGAATTGAACTCCGGTCCTTGTGCTTGCACAGCAGGCGGTGAAGCCACTGAGCTAAATCCTTGGCCAAATGAACTATCCATGGAAACTTCCTCTCAGAGATGTTTGCAATTACTAGTAAGAAATTCTTGAAAGCATAAAAAGATGTTGAGTCCTTCATTAATGCTAACAGTGGAACATCAGACCACAGGACAGACATGCAGTGGAGAGAGAGTCATATGGCAGTTTCCTGTGATAATGTAGTGTGTGAGGTGGAAGCTTCTAGGATCTCAGGTTTCACATCTGCTGCTCTTAACAGAGGATTCCACACAAAGCAGAATCCAACATTAGGTACAAAGCCTAGATAGTTAACTATGCCTGGTTTCACTTCTGTTTATGAAGGCTATCATTCATTGTTTAAGTAAAGCTTTCTCTCTTGCTATTCTCCTTGGTAAATGAGAGTGACTGGAAAACATAGTTAAAGGACACAATAGCTTCATGAATTCAGTGCCTATCATTTGCTGGTCAGTGTATGGAGTAAGATATGTATTGCTCTTATTCGTTTCTGTAAAGCCTTAGTGACATGATGATTATTACCCTATCTGCACCAAGTAACAGAGGCCATAGAGTGTAAGGAACTTGTACAAGGCCCTACAGCAAGGCAGTACCAACTTGAAACCACATTCATATGCACACATACACACACACACCCTTCTGCTTAGGGGGATCACCTGAGTACTTTGCACTACAGCAGGTGTCTCTCACCTGTGACAGCAGAGGTTCCTGCTTGCTAGCTGTCTTCTCCTTCACCAGCAGGACATAGAAACCACATCCATTTGTTTCACACTTTTGTCTACAATGTCAGACACACAGTAGGATTCTAATAAACATTTGTTGGTTAAAAGAATAAGAATCCAAAAGACCATGTTCTAAACATTATACCAAGAGAACTCCAATGAATATTCTCATGTATAAAACCTTACAGGTTTAGAGCACAATCAGGATAATCAAGCCATGAGCTCATTTTCTGGGTTCCCCTTTCTGAGGGAATCACTGCCAAGCAGTGACCACAGGGGTTTTGGTGTAGGATAGAGGAGGAAAAGCCCCACTACTGCTAATACCATGGCCTCTCCTGTATGCTCTAAAGAACAGACTTGCAAGGCATACCAATGACCCTATTGAGGAGGTTGTATGGACGATGGTTAAAGAATATTTCTGTGGAATTAGAGAGTACAAACTCAAACCTCAGTTTTTCCAGTTACCAGTCTTTACTGAATGGAACAGATTTGTTTATCTCCCCAAATCTCAGGATCTCTGTTTGCAAATAATACTGTGTATAAACTTGTTAGGACTAAATGATATAATACATATAAAGTACCTGGAATAATTCTGGGTACACTGAAAACATTCAATAAATTCCAGGGTGAATAGGAGAAGTAGATGTAACAGCAAAGGTTCATGTGCTCACCCCCCATTTCCTTCCCACAGATAAGAACAGGATCTGGGAGAATTCTGTCATCACAGGGGTTACTTAGAATTCTAACTTCCATAGCATAGGGCAGGTCTGCCAGCTTGCAAAAGATATTGACAGAATGAATGAATGATGACTGCTTAATTTTGTGATCAGGTTGATAAAGGACATCAGTCTAAGAAATAACTTTATATACTTTTGTTTTATTGCCTGCTACAATAACATGATTTCAAGTAAAGGTTTATTTGCTTGGTTTTTTTTTTTTGGTACCGCGGATCGAACTCAGGTCCTTGCGCTTGCAAGGCAGGCAACGGAACCACTGAGCTAAATCCCAGGCCCTCAAGCAAAGGTTTAAGAAGAATCTTTTTGCTTCGTTCTTCTAAGGAAATGAAATTCACTACCAGAAACATAGGAAGCCTATTAGTTGGTCTCTGCTGAAAAGAAAAAAATAGTGTTTAATGCATCAAAAGAATATAAAATGTTATAACTTGGGCAAGAGAAAGTCATATATTTAATAAAACAGCTAGTGGTAGCTATGTGTTGTCTCTTGTATTTGCAAACCTCTGCTCTTTTGGGATGCAAGTCTATTTTTCCTGACACTATACATCATTGGTGTATTTATGCAACATTTTGTTCCTAAAGTTAAGTCTTACATAAAGAACAGAGATAAAAGCATACTTTATACACTTTTTTCTGAAATCACAAATCTGTACATTTCTTTTTGTTTATGTAAACACTGTAGCAAGACTCTTGGCTTGTATGTCAATTCTATCTCATTAGACTAGTTTTATTGAGATTTAAAAGAAAAAACTTATAGAAGGGCTACTGAGGCCTGTCTGTCACACTCAACTGCTGAACACTTCCCTTTCCTCTTTGTATCAGCATTTGAGGTTCAACTGTCTTAGCCTCCTTGACCAGACAACTGAATGCAATACCAGAAAGGCAGAGTGGGAGCCTTTTTCAGAAAACTGCTTGGAAAGTGAGGGCACAAACACATCATTGCTACCCCATAAGCACTGCAGGTCTGAAGGGGGCACCATGAGTTCCAAAGCAGTTAGGTGGGCTGGAAGCAGAGGCAGGAGAGGAAACAGACAGGGAGACCAAATCAGCAGCGAATCCCCTTGTCCAGGGTTGAGATGGAAGAAATTACCTCTGGTGCTTTTTATTTCATGTTTCTGAAGCAGCCTGGCTTTAGTAGCCAATGTATGGGCTCTGAGAGGGGAGAGAAGAAAAATATAAAGGAAGAAATATTTAAGATACTAATATCTAATTTTTGAGGAGCAAGTTACCCTGAATTTTGGAGTGAAACTTTAAATCATTTCTATATCATATAAAGAAACAGAGAATATTTTTTCTTCTTAACTTGAGGATAGACACTCAAGTTCTTTTTTGAACTGCCAAAAAGTCCATCTCTCCCTTCACCTGGTCCTAATACCACACTCACTTAGGAAAATGCTAGCTATTGGTTAACATCCCCTAACTAAAATTGAGTGTATTTTTTAAAAAGCTAATAATTTATAGCTCCCTCCCCCAAAATATTTCCACACACTAAGTAGCCACTCAGAGAGTAGAGGGTTCTCAACCAGAATCAAGATGCGACAGCTGGGTGTGCCTGAGAATGTGCCTGAACTATAAGCTTTGTGATGTAGTGGGTGTTTCTAGTGATGAGATAATGAGAAGGGAAATTGGTACGATGAATGGGCACTTCTACAAAGCCATCCAGTGGGCTGACAGCAACTCCACAGTCTCTGTAGTGACAGGAAACAGGCGACATCTTCCTGTTTCCTTCCCCTATCTCTACCCTTCCTCTCCCCCATGTATTCTCATTTGAGGATGCTGCAGAAGCCACCTCTGACAGGCTTTGCTTTCTGATACCTTTTCTGCTCTTCTCCCTTGGAACTGATTACGATTTTCTTGGCAAGTCACTCTGACTCCTTATTAGGACTCAAAACAGAAAGGTAAGAACCAACAGTATCTTAGAAATAAATATTACCATTGTCACTTACAGACGGTAAACTGCAATTCAGTTTAAATAATGTACATAGCCAAGAGTGCAGGGATTAGCATCTAGGTTTTCCTGATAGCATTTCTTATACCATGTCACCATGGAAGAGATGTGCCCAAGGCCTACATGACAGAGATGTCTGCATTTCAGCCTGGTAGCAACTGTGCTGTCACTCTCATGATGTGTGGATGCCACCGAAGGGAGGCAGGGTCCTATGAAGAGTTCTAATTTATTTGACCAGGAATACCAGTTGAATTTCAATTGAAAAGAAATATAACTACCTCTTCATGAAAGCAGGCTTCAGGCTCTGGCACTTTGCAGCACTTCTCCACCGCACTGGTGAAATTTGTCAACAAAGACAGAAGCTCTTCATCAGTGAGTTGAGGCTTCAGCCTCACTAACTTGATAAGAAACCTATAGCTCAAAGATGTCAAATGTAGTTAATTAATGGTTTCTTCTGAAGTTCCTCTTCTCCACAATGCTTGTTAAGGAATCACATGTTTCAGAGTCTCAACTTGGGTGAGAATAAAGAATAAAAATATTGAAAGAGTCTTCTAAAACTTTCCTGATAAACTTACAGAATGGTCTCTTTGGAGGGTTAGATAATCACAGACAAAATTATTTAAAATAGGAATATATAGTAGGCCTGTATTATACACATTATTATAGAATGTATGAATATGACTCCATTTGATCTGTCTAGACAGCTCATGTCCAGAACAACTCCAATCCACCTTCCTCAATAGCTGAATACTATTGATACAGACACTTGATACAGACATCTAAATAGAACAAAAACAGGTCTTCTTGCTTTGGCTTTGAGAGAATGAAAGTAAAATTCCTGTCCCTTTGGGCATCTCCCTTTTTTTCAAACATTAAGAGAAATTCTCAGGAAAATACCCATGCCATTCTCTCAAGAAAACTCAACTCATTTTGAACCTGCCCATGAACCTTGTTGTTTGCTGCCATAATCCACATTACTGGGCATTCCAAGTCTAACAAAGGAAGACACCTAGGTTTGTACTTATAACAACAGCAATAAATATGCACTGGTGTTTCTCTGAATAGGAGAGAGTAGACAATTTGGTGAAAGGACAGAATTGTGATGCCAAAAAGCACACATTCATTACAATAAAACTTCTCACTGAGACATAGTGTGCCTTCAGGCTGAGGAAAAAGAGGGAGAGACGAGAATGGTTGTACCTGTATTTCTTTCCCTGAGGCACCTCATTCTGAGACTGACACCAGTCAACAGGAAAAACAGGTAAGTCTTGAGAGAGTGGGGGAGGCACATATGTTTTTATCAGCTTTCAAACCCTCAAAGCAGTGCCTTCTAAAGGCAAAATTCAACAACAGTGGTCCATAGCAGGATTGATGGTTTGATTTTCATTTATTCCACATAATTCTCCAAGAACTAAATCTGCCTGTTTCCAAAGAGAATTGGAATTGAATATTACTATAAAACTTGTATAGAGTTTCAAAAATTATTATTAGATAAATAGATCTTAGATTATTCTTAACCTTACTCAGAAAAAGACACATGGAGTTGTAACACTACACTATATACAAAGAAAACTAAAGTCTGGTGTCCTAAATGGAAGTCCAACAGAAATTTAAGCTAGAGCAATTTGAATTCCAATAGATTTTTTTAAAAAACATATACATTTTTAATTGTGAGCATACAACTGCAAACATTCAATTCACAGAGGCAACTAACCTTGTAGTCCTTGCATCCATTCCCCTGAAAACACTAGGCAGGAAGTAACAGTTTTCTTACTGAACTCACCCTCTTGGGACAAGAGGGAGAATTTGTGACATTATTTAAAACCTTTTGGCATCCAGGCTTGTGGTGTAGTTCAGTGGTAAGGAGCTTGTCTAGAATGCACAGAACCTGATCCCTATTACACAGCAGAGTAACAATAAGGTTTCCTACATCATTCTGAAACAACTTTGAGATTCCTAAATCATTTGTTCTAACAAATCACTTCTGACATAAATCAGAAGTAAAAATGATAATTGGAGAATCCTTGAAAAATATTTAAGACATTCTTTAGCTTCTCAAAATTTTTACATGTGAGCTAAAAGGAAAATGTGACCTCCCTTACTTGACAAAGATGAAAATGAGGAAGAGATGAAGGTAGATAAATCAACAAATAGAAGTACTCTTTCTTTTTTATGATACCATGCTCAACAAATCATCAACACAGGCAAACTCATCACTTAGTGTGTAGCAGGTGGTCAGAGCTGTCACCATCTCCTTGCCAAGAGAGATCAGTTCTTCAGTGGAAAGCTGGGGGACTATCTTTGTGAGCTTAATAAGATAGCTGAAAGAACACATGTGTGTTTGGTTCTGAACAAAATCAAATACCCATTTGCCCTTGAATGGCTATTAAAACCCAGGCCCTTCAAAGGTAAGTGCAAAGTGAACTTCTGCTCTCATAGATAGTAGCAAAAATCTCTTTACTCTCTTTTCTCCATCACTCTGTCTTCTACATCTCTAGAGTTTTACTTCCTTTCTAATGTCACGGTTATGTCTTAAGCCTTTAGAATTACCTGTCCTTTCTTACCTATTAGTATAGGAGCTCTTGGCAAAAAATATCTTGCCTAGTAAGAAAAATTCTGCTTGAAATTCTTTGCATAGTTAGTAAATATTTTTAAGGGAGAATTTGAAAGATGCATATTGAGAATGAGATAAAGAAAACTAATGGACTGACTTTGAATTCTCAGCTAACAAGCACGATTGCAGAAATACTGAAATCATATTTTTTAAGTTGTGCTTTGTTTTCATTTGAAGATGTTTAGTTTCAAGAGACACCAACTAGTGTGATAATTCATTAAGAAAATCTGAATTAACTGTATATTATTCATGAATGCTCACAAGAGCACTAAAGGAATAAATATTGCAGTGTTCAGCAAACCCAGAGTTATTTCTATAAACTCAGTTAAAATGGGTCAAAATCCTAGGCAAACCTTCTCCTTCCCAGGAAACTGTTGCAACCTGAACTTTGCTCCATGTCACTCCAAAACAGGGCAAAATGCAGGGATCTTGATCTGAGAATGAGAAAGCCAAGTTCAAACAGAAACTAAAGTGGCAGAGAATCAATTTAGTGTCTAGTGTTTCTTTCATATCCAGCCTTGTCTCTGGGCAAAAATATGTATAACAGCTCAGTGTTCTTTCCTGTCTGTTTTGTTTTATTCACTCCCAGAGTTATGGATTGGCCATAACTGAAAGACTAACCTAATTTGTTTTTCCACCTTGGGGAATTTTTATACTTAGTCCACGTGTGGAATCAACCTACTGGTGTTTTAAGCCATCTTTTCCCAAATTTTGGAAATGTTTACATTCTTGTTGTACCATCTGGAGACTTTCCCCAGTTGTGTCATTGAATTTGTCTTTCTGAAAATTAAAAACAGTCATGGTTACATTTCAAAGTCCAATTTTTCATCATCTTGTACCTTTTTAGAGCTTTAAGAATTACAAAGTCTAATTAAAAATTTATGTTGACAATGACTATATTTGATTCCTACTTTTAAGTGGCCAGAGAATTTATCACCATTTTTAAATAAAGGAAATGGGCCTTGTGAAATTAAGAGACTTTCCTACAATGACTCAGCTAGTAATTATTGCTAAGGAACATATTTTATCATGTTTGTCATTATTTTATACCTTTTTCTAATCATTTAGATTTGGAACTTTAAGCTTCCAATAGTTTTCTTCAAATACTTGACAGCTTCTCTTTCACATAACATGAAGAACTACAGAATGAGAGTGGATCCAGTGGGACAAATTGTGTCTCTATGGAAAAAAAAAGCATCACGATTCATTTCAGCATTAGGAACAGACAGCATAAGCTAAACTGATGATGTTGCTCTTCCCAATGACAATCTTACACTGAATTCAAACTACACTCAGATTGGTTAATCACATTTTCTTTGCCCTAGACTGAAGTAAAACTTCAATGTAAGCTTTAAGTGTTTTATTGTTGTTCCTTTTCCAAGTTCTGAATCTACAATGATCAAACCTACCATGTGACGATAACAATCTGTAAGTGTCTCTCTGCTGCAACAATCTCTCAGAAAATCCTCAGACACTCCAGCAGTTCTCAGAAGCTCTGATGTGGACAGGTCTGGATGTCTCCTTGAGTATTCATAAAGAAACCTGAGATGTGTGAGATATTTTGTATATTAAAAATTAGAGAAAAGCAAGACACCCAACTCCACTTTCAAGTCAGATGCAATGCTAAGTCTGCTGTCAGATGCTAACTTCTTCCTCTGGTTTGATCAGGGAGTCTCTGAGGAAGACAGTCTCACCACAGAAGATCATTTAATAAAAATTCTCTTCCATGTTATGGTTTAGACATTTTTAGTTGAGAGAATAAATAAAATAATGTAACACATAATGAATGAGAAATAGTAAATGTTGCTACCAGAGCTTTAAAAATTACACATTGAATGTAATTCTGTTGAAGAGTGCATTCAGACTTCCACTTTGGAATAGTGTGCATGTAGTTTTCTCCTTGCTCTCAGTCTAGCCTTAGCAAGAGATAAGGCACAGACTCTCTCCATTCCCCTCTATAACTGGGCACATAGGGGAGTAACACTCCCTTTAGCCCTGAATCTTTGGCAGTGGCTCCAGAAGCCTTGGTGGTTGTGACATGAGGAGAAGGTGAGAAAGACAGTAGAATAAGGCTACAGTTTATAAGATTTAGTAGGTGCTGCACTCTGAATCAAGCTTTGTGTATAAGAAATAAACAAGATAAGCACTATTTTATAGCTGAAGAAACTAATTCCCTGACTGGCTATGGACTCCTGGTACAGACTGAGCATCCCCAATCTGAAAATCTGAAAATTTGAACTCAGAAATGCTCCAAAATCCAAAACATTTTGGGCACTGACAGGATGCCACAGTGGAAACTCCATCTCGGACTTCATGTAACAGGTTACAGTCAACTTGCAAGTGCACAAAAATCTTGTATAAAATTTCCTTCAGGTTACATGTATAAAGTTTTAATAAAGTATAAATGAATTTAAAGTTTAGTCTTAGATCCCATTCTCAAGGTATCTCATTATGTATATGTAGATATTTAAAATTATGAGAAAATCCGAAGCCCATAACAATTTGGCCCCAAGCCTATCAGACAAGGGACATCTAACCTGTATTAATGGAAGATACAAAACATGACCAAGGTGCCATGAGATGCCTCCTCCATTCTTTTTTTAAAATTTTGTTTTATTGTTACATTTTAGGTATACAATATAATGACATTCATCATTGGAAATTTGCACCTTTACATAATCCATCTTGGTTCTTATTTTTTCCCCCTTCCCTGCCATCCTTTCAAACACTCCATCCCTCCCTATTTACAAAGACTTTGTTTCTATTTTTTCATTTTCTCATATTAATCTCATTCCCTTCTTTCATTTCTCTTACCCCTCCCATTTCCCCTTCCCCTTTGACCCTTTTCTTCTTATTCCACAGTATCTATTATACCTTTTAGTCCTTATTTACACTTTCAGTTTCTCACACTAGAGAAACTATTCAGTATTTACACATGCATGTCCTT